TCTCACATAGTTGAAGTAGTTATATTCACTCCCTTTTTTTCTTTGATGTTTTCTTTTTTTATACCTGTATTCAACATGATAGGAAAACTGCCAAATTGCCCTTTCCTTTTCTTTCCATCCTCCATTTTTAAATCAGTTATGTATTTATTTAAACTACAACATTAGGCTAGATAAGAGGCAACATAGGAATGTTTTCTTTTCTTCCTCCCCCCAAAAGCACATAAAACAACAACAAACCTTACTCAATTAGGCTACAAATGGAACCTAAAATACTTCAAACAACAGCAAAATGCTATTCGCCTAAAGTTAAATCCAGTGAACCTGAATGAAAATGAAAAGAAACTTATTGGGAGTTTCAGATGCTGCAATCTTGAAACTATAACTAAGTAATACATTTGATGGACCTCATTTGAATTTACTCCTAAGTAAACCTGCTCAGGATTTCACAATTCATAAATAAGATTTGGATGATTATCTTCTCCAGCTTATCTTAGACTCTTCTAACTTCTATCTTTAAAAGAATAATGGAAACGAATGAGTCAATAATCACTTCCTGGAAAATGTGAAAAGCATTGTAACAATACCCAGTTTTCTAATTCTTGTTGACAGGCACAGAGGTTCAAAAAATATAGCCTGACTTCATCTGAATTGCTTTTTAACTAAAAGATTAATTTCATAATCAGTGGTATATAGGATGTCAAAAATTATTGATTATGCCTGCCAAATCATAACCAAAACGACATTCCTACATAATTCTTATTTTCTTTTAGGCTCCTACATTCTCCAAGGCCCCTATATTTTGGAAAATAATGTAAACACTGCAATTCACGAAGTACAAATAATGTATTTTTGTCAAGTGGAAAGAGAGAAAAGAAACCAACTCCCATGTGTTACACATTCAAAAGTGGATTAATTATTTCCAGGATTTGATTGTGTGTTGTCTACTTCTACACTGAAGAATCTTACAACTCATCACACTTAATGAGATGAGGTCATTCTATATCTTTGAAGAAATGGCTTTTTGACATATATTTAAAGCCAAGAATAGAAAATAGTGATATTCATATAATGTAAACATGGCAAGAGAATTTGTGGAAGGTTAAAATTGGCTTCTATATAAATTAAATTCAATGCCTACTCAAAGGACTTATTTACAGTTTGGACAGTTTGGATAAACCTCTGAGTTGTCTAGTTCCTATAGATTTCAAGATGGCTTATAATCAACATAACAAAACATAAATGAAAACAGTTGAGTAACCTAAATATCATCTCACTGCTGAACAACCAGGTTCTACTTGCAGCTGGTTCCAACCACCTAGCATCTCCCCCTTCATTGAAGCCTCTTTGATAGAACACTATCTTAATACTGTGTTGGCATGGCAATTGGAAAGGGACCAAAGTGGCCATTGGGATGGGGAGGTTATTCCATATCAAAGGCTCCATGCCCAAGAGGACCTGCTTTTGGACCCCCATCCATTTCTCATTTCAAAGTTGGAAACCATTGAATGCTGTCCCAGCATTCTCTCTACACATTTGTAGAGAGCCACGGAGATGACGTCATGAAGGGCAGAAGCATTCCTTAAACCCTGGAATAGGACATGCCAGGAAGAGATTCAGGCTGGTTCCTCCCTGACTGAATGGACAAAAAAGGGAAAGTTAAACACAAGAGTAAAGGTAAAAGTTTCCATATCCAGTTGTGTCTGACTCTAGGGTGCCATTTTTTGGCCGAGGGTGCCAGTGTTGTTTGAAGACTTTTGTGATCATGTGGACAGCATAGATATACACCAAAGACACATGGAACAGTTTCCTCCCCACAAAACGGTACCTATGTATCTACTTGCATTTGTATGCTTCCAAACTGCTAGGTGGGCAGGAGCTGGGGCAGGAACGGGAGCTCACCCCATTGCACAACGCTTGGGCTTGAACCCAGGCACTCAGCTTTCCAGCTGACAAGCTCAGTGTCTTTAACTGAGGAAGAAGACTTGTGAAATTCTGCTACTACAGACTATCTCACAAAAGTCTAGCCTTCTTGTGGAGTCGGTTTCATGAGCTGATCTACATCATAGAGCTGACAATATTAGTTAAAGCTATCTGGAGCAGACAGTTGTTAGAAAGTAATACAAGTGCAAACGTTAAACAGCTTTATAACTAGCATTCCTAGCAGCAGCCATAAATTTTCCAGTAGCCAGTACAGCTCTTCCCAAATTGGTAGCTTGCTATTTCCTAGTAAGCAAGACATTTCAGCTTCAGCTTCTTGCATCACTTTTGAAGGTAGCTCTGCATGCAGTGACTTGCAGCAATTCAAGTTCCTATCACACTCAATCTGGGCAACCGTGAGCAAGGCTAATCTGGGCTATTTTCGAACTATCAGAATAGGTGATCAGTGGTGGGATTCAAATATGTGAACAACCGGTTCTCTGTATGGATGCCGCTTCCAGAACTCCATTCTGGGCCTGGGCAACAAAAAATTAGGTACTGGTTCTACCGAAGTGGTGCGAACTGGCTGAATCCCACCACTATGATCATAGCAAAAAGGGAACACCACACTTACATAAACTTAATAGGTCCCTACAGGAAATTGGGTAGGGGCTTGCTATTGCACACTCGTCTTTTATCCACCACATTTATATTATTTAAATTAGTTTTCAGGCTGGAACAGGCAGAAACAAATCTGCAAAGGTTTTCAGATTATATTATTAAAACATTGTGTGAGACACACTTAGAAAAAAGTGACATCTGAATCACGGAGCCAATTTAAACATGTTCTCTCTGATGTGGTATAGCCCCAAACAGTAACTGTACCTCTTCGGGTTCCATTTATGGAATCTCTTTTATGAATAAGCTCCTCCATCAACACTATTTCCCACATTTTATATTTACAGAGAAGCCTAACTGTTGGATACAGTACTTTGACTTTCTTTCTTTCTTTCTTTCTTTCTTTCTTTCTTTCTTTCTTTCTTTCTTTCTTTCTTTCTTTCCCCACAAAGAGGCAGAAAAATTGTGCAAAAAACACTGTGATGTCAGAAGCAGAATCTGCCCTGTGTCACCATTTGCTGATTGCAAATGTCAGTAATTGAATAAATTACACCATGAAGAATGTTCCCATGAGTCTCTAGCACTTATTTCTTTGGATTACTATTCCTTGCTGTGAAAAATCATGGGTGCCTTGAGATCAACATATTATTAGCATAGAGGATTTATTTCTACCCTGGAATATAAAATGATTTCTGAGAAAATTTATCACAATTTATTATTCTTAAACTACATAATTTTCAGTAAAGTCATTTTTCCTACTGATTCAATCCAAGTATATTTCCTGACCTGAAAATACTTTTGAAAATATCAATGGTATATTTTTATTTCACATAGGGAAAAGCTGGCCATGTTGAATTACAATTCCTCTTTATATAATCATACATGAAGCATTAAATGATGAGTATATTATATTTGAAATGTTTTCCTTGTTCTTAACTTTGTAAAAGAAAAAAGAAAAGAAGTGCCTAATTTGGCATTAGATCCTAGTGTGTTGATTATTACTACTTTGAATTTTCACCAAGTTTCTCTTTTTGAGTCAGTCGAATTAACCTATTCTTATTTTCAAGCATTATAACATTACTGAACTTAACAGGTATAAAAATGTAAAACCAGGTTGGAAGATAGAAACCAGTAATAAAGGAGATACTGAGATGTACAAAACATCATCTAGTGAGGAGATTCTCTATGTGTAAAGTTTCACAAAGATTCACGTATTCACTGTGCAGCCCCGAAACACAAAGGAACAAAAATCTGATAGACGTATCTACATCTGGTAACTACATCAGCAGCTAATTCATCTACCAAGGGACTGGAAAATTGGCTGTTGGATAAACTAGCTAATAAATGTCATCTGCTTCTGACTAAACTAGGAGGAGTTTCTGCAGGGTGTTCAGATGACCAGTCTCTTCCTACTCCATTTAAAATGCCTTTGAGATTGATCTGCCATCTATTTAAATATCAAGACACTATAAACATGGTTATGTTCATAGTGTTGAGAGTTTAGAGCTTACAGAGACATCATCACCTTGCTCTTTTTGGCTAATATCTAAATGCAGAGAATTAGCAACCAATTAAATCTAGTTTACTAATTTGACCCGCCTCCCGGTTCAGTTTTCACTGTGTCCATACCTAAAATATTCCTTTCCTCTCTTCAGAAGGAGGAAAAGAAATAAATAGCTAGTATTTTTCTTCTTCTAAGCTCCATGTGGTCCTATGCATAGATTTGTCTCTTGCTGCATCAATATCTTCAGTTTTGAGAGGAAACTGTGCAAAGGGAGGCAGATTGCATCAAACACCATTGTAAGCCTTCCTACTTACAATGGTGTCAAATATCTGTTGCCTTGATTCCTAATGTGATATATCAACATTTCTGCAGTTCAGTTTCTTTTTCTAATCATGACACATGTACCTATGCTGGGTTACCAAACCTGGAAGGAAGGGTAAGCCACGTTTCCAGGCAATTCCAATATGCAGTAGCAAAACTAATTTTGGAATTAGTTTTAGTGCCTCGAAATGACATTTCCTTGACCACGTAACTATAATTCTATCATATCAGGAAATAGGAATGCATCAAATTATACAGTGTGATCAATGGGGATCTCATAAACCCCCCCCCCACTGTCTTCCCTTAGAAAATCTGTGTCTAAATTTGTACTTGTACAGTCTGAATAAAAGATCATCTAATGAACAATCCTCTTTATGTAACAGATAAAACTCACAGTGACTCAGTTTGTACATCTTGCCATTGTTTACTCTTTGGATTATGGAACTGCAGCAGATAGGATCACAAGGAAGGGCTCCTATGAAGCATTAAGGTCACATCGCTTTACTTATTAAATTTATGAGTATCACAGTCTAAATATTGTGATGGGATTAGAGTAATACTAAGAGCCAGTTTTCCATGAGATGAGCATGAAGTTCAGAATTTCTCAACCAACTCCATGGAAAAAGAATTAAGTACTTACTTGAAGCAGTTATCGCAATAAATATTTCCTGTAGTCTCCTTGATTGTGCGTTCAGAAACAAAAGCTGGATATTCAGTGTCACAAGGCTCTAGGGTTTGCTTCAATCGCTGAGCTAAAGAAAATAAGAGAGACTGAAGGGTTTTGATAATAACTTATTTTAGAGTTCTTCAGTGTGAGATGCTGTATCAGTGCTTTGGACCTTGTGAAATCATTACAGTGCTTCTGCCACCCTGTGATTTATGCTGGTAATGCATAAGATTTATTTTATAATTAAAAAAGACACTTATAAGAAGACACAAAGTACTAAAAGATATTCTTACAATACATGACTCTAATTATAGTTTGGCCATAAGAAAGAGATAGAATATTGATTCAGTGGTAACTGCATACATGAATAAATTTAATAGTTGTGAACGTATCAGCAACAATATAGACGTACTTAGTAGAATTGAAGGGTATTTCATAGTTATTCCTACCCTTACTTCTTAAAAAAAAAAAAAAAAAACCTAGTTAGCCATGGGAAATTATGGCAGTACTGTTCTCAGTTTGCATCTGACAAGAGTGGTATTAAGACCATACTTCGTATTTGCAATAAAACTGTATAATTTACTCACTGCTGCATTGAAAAATCAAATTTATTTAATTGCTTAACCTCACCCCTCCCAATCTTAAACTTGTTTGGATAAGTTTTAAATCTATTATTTTTAATATTCTCCTTCTTGCTGTTCTTTGCGTTACTCCCATCATATCACGAGGTCCGCAGTTTTGCATTTCGCCCACCACTTCATCCACTTATTATTTTTAACATTATTAGTTTAAAATTTGTGTCGTGTTGATATCCAGTTACTTATACTGTTGCTGTCATTATTTTAAGTAACTTCTTCCCTAGTGTGCATTACAAGGCTATAGACTGTGCAAAAAGTACATACCATCTGCTGCCATGTCCCTACCCAGTTATCTATTACTTAAAATATTGACCAATTATGACAGTTCTGTCACAGGAGACACATGAAAATCAATGCTCCAGGTTGGTGCCAACTAGCTTAACATTCACTGACTGCTGTGGGTCTATATTAAATAGGACTTAAGTTTGGATCCAGTCCAAATTTCTTTCACTTGAAGTCAAGGTAAAAAATTAAAAGAAAATCCCACATCCTTGAGTTTTTTTATTTTAGTTTTTCTTCAAAACCAATATATATCCATGCCTGCTAATTGTGTCTATTTGTATAGTGATAAGGAGTACCTGGTGCCATAGAATTATTGAACTTAATGTCTGAGATTCCTATGATCAGCATGATTAACAGATGCCATATATTCTTTACTCAATTTTTCACAGTAAAAAATAGGATGCAAATAACTGTGAATATTTTCTTTCCATTTTGCAAGCTATATTCAGGAACCACCATCCTTTTCCAACCCAGCCAAAAAAGAGAAAAGGAAAAGAAAGATTCAAGGTGTATTAACTGCTGATTTCATAAATCTCATTAGGATGGGATAAAACAACTTGCTCTCTGATTTTTTGGATCTGTGCTGGTAACCATCTCTCCTATGACTGCCAGCTCATTCAATTGACTATAAACATCAACTGCATTAAAATTATGCCTTTCTTGTGATCAGGATGAGGGGATACTTTGCAGCCTCCTAGTAATTAACAAAAGGGAGCAGATGACGTATGTAATTATATGCCCAGCTTCCAGTGTAAAAAGTAAAAGGCAGTATCGTTATCTTCTGAGGTAATGGCAAACCTATGTCCTTACGGAAAGAAGGCTGCAAGTTAATAATATAGCTGCAACACATATTTATTTCTAATTCTTCTAAAACAAAGAGTTGTGGGTAGCAAACCATTTCACTGGACAGTGTGAGAGAGTGTAAAACACGTCATTTGTAATAGTCATTATAAAGGTGCAGGGATGCCTTTGAGACAGTGTTGATTCCTGGTGACTACTCTGCAGTTTTCCTGGCAAGATCTCAGAAGTAGTTAGCCATTGCTGGCTTCCTAGGGTTAAAAGAGAGAAAGACTGGCGCAAGGTCACCCAGGTTGTGTCTAGGATGGAACTAGAACTCACAGTTCCCAATTTTTAGCCTGGTGCCTTAAACATAACCAACCAAATTGGCTCTGCATACATGTTTATACTGCAATCGATTCAAATCCAGGCACTAGGGGAGCAAAATTTCAACTGGTTCTGAGGAATGCTTCTTTTCCTTTTTCCTTAAGACTGGTAAATCATGCAAGAATATTACAGTGATCACATAAGATTTTTTTAAAAATTATTTATTTAGTTCCCATAGTTGCCCATCTCAACCAAGTGGCTCTGGGCAGTGAGCAGGATGATGCAGTGTGCCTTGCATTGCCTTGGGTAGCTCTTTGAAAAGTCACCAAGATGATTTCCTTTTCAGTAGAGTGTGCCATAAAAAATTGCTCTACCCAAAAGCCATATTAGCCATTTACTTATGAATGTCACCAATTGCATACATTAAATTCCACCAGAAACCGAAACCACAAAAACCAATGGATGTACTTAATTTGCTCCTTGTATTAGGCACCCGCCACTAAGGAGTAGGAATTCATTTTTCTATTTCACTTCTGCCTAGATTATTTTTGTATTGGGTGCATAGGACTTACACAGAAGCTGCAGAACTCTGGATGGAAATACAGACTTTTTTGCACTGGGAATGATTCTTGCAAGACTAGCGTAGTGACTGTCTCTCCCATGCTTTTCTAGCAATGTCAGAAGCTTCATATCATCTCCAGGAAACTTTAATTGGTTTACTGCAATCCCAGTGTTTGAAAAAATTAAACACAATGCAGTAATGTTCACATCACTGAGATAGTTTTAGAAAAACTTTCTAGGATCAAAAACTGTTGTTAAACTGTTCTACTTCAAACTCAAAAGAAAATAATTTTCTCTTTTGTGCGTACCTTTAGAAAAACTGGAAGTTCCTTTGTACCTCAAGCTTTGTGGAATATTGACTTCTTATAAAAGCAAATAACACAGATGTTAATATATCTGTTAATATACATTATTCTTACCCTTTGCCATAAGATCCGAATGCCACCAATTGCATAGATTAAATTCCACCAGAAACCTAAGCCACAAAAATATATTATTTGATTATATCTGGCAAGTTCATACCATTAACTGTCAGTAATAATTTTTTTCCAGCATGTTCAAAAACAGACATCAAGCTAAGCTCATGATGAGATATTGTCTGCTATAGTTGTACATTTTCTCCCAGCTGAATTCATTTTACAATTTCAAATTCTGTTGAAATTGGTATCTCTGTTGGACTGTTCTGTAGCCAAGAATTTTATTTAAAAAATACCTTATTGCAGTTTCTAGTGCATGACAAGTTGCAGTAGCTATTTCTCCAGTACAGAGAACACATTGATTGTGGGATTAAAATCTATGATGCATACATTCAATCCTTAGGCAGGCAAAATCTCCAATTCCCACAATAGGCTCATAAACAGAGAAATATTATTTCTCATTTTGTCAGCAAATGACAAAACTTTCTCATACAAAAATACAACATTCCCATGAAAATGTGTCAGCTTCAAGTCATGCTTATGTGAAGACTAAAGTCAATGGCAATAGCTTTTAAATGTTCACATTGAAAGGAAAAATGGTTATCATAAACAAGCAACCTAGAACATTTTCTGAACTTTACCTTCTAATACCCATATTGTTTTGTATAGTCATCATCAAGGTTTAATTCTATTTTAAATTTTGCAGATTTAGTTTGCAATAAATCATATGCACACACATTCTTTTCCATCCACTATGAGAAATCTCATTTAAATCTACATTGTGAATATCTGTAAAGTAATAAACCTGGTCAATTACAGATTGTTCAATGTCTCCTGCCATTCCTACTCTCCACTAAACAGATCTTAACAAAAATGTTAAAACTCCTTTATGCTTTACTGGTGGGGTCCAGTTATGCAAAAGAAATTACCACTCAAGTGTATAATCCATTTTTACTTTAAAACTATTATGAATTGACAGGAGTTCTATATCATGTGGAAAACAACCACTAGATCTTGCATGAACTTCAAATATGCCAATCACAGGGCTGCAATCACTTAAGAAATTAGAGAACAACAGAAGATCCTCTGAGAAAATACACACATTAATAGCCCACCCAAGCAGAACTGGAATCAGCCAAATATTTATATTACATCTAAGTGCAACCACAGTAATAAATTTAGGCTGCAATCCTATATTTGAATTACCCAGGAGTTAGCTCCACTGAAAATAATAGGATTCTACATTTGAGTAGGCATGTATTGAATTGCATTATTAGTTTATATTTTGGAAATGATTACTGTGAAATCCATAAGGCTTTAAGTACTTTTTAAACCGCTAAAATTATACACTAAGGATTTGAAAGTGTACATAAATTACTCAACTGGTACAACAAGAAGAATGAAAAATGGAAAAGTACGATCTTCAAATCAGAACAAGTTTTACTTACAAGACAAGTTCAGTCACAATCCATTTGACTGCAGCAAAGAAAGCTTTGTAAGGCTGAAGACAAACAAATTACTTAATCAAAAAGCCAGAATGTATAATATGTATATATTAAGTGACAGATGTATATAATGTTTTAAATACATTAATATTTCTACAAATGAATAAAATGCTATGATTTTAGCACAAATATTATTGTGATGTTTATGTGATATAATTATTGGCAAAAAGAGAATTGAAAATAACATGTTGCTTGAAGTTCTATGACTTGTATCACTTCCCAAACTCATTTATTCTATAACTATTACCCCATCATTGATTTACAGCATCTTCTAATGTCACCCAAAAATCATAATGTCCAAAATAACAATAAATGAGGACATATATGACAATCACCTCAATAATGGTTGGAAAGTTTCAAAAAATTCTATACATGAGATATAAATCATATTGTTTTATATGAGATATAACCTATATTGTAAATTCACTTGTTTGCTAGAAAATTTAAGAAGCATTTAGTGAAAGCTTGAACAAATTTGCTGAATTGGACCAACAGCATATTTAACAGTAGCGAATCAAATGTTTCTCAGAAAATTGCAAGAAAGACATTAGGTTAAAATTACATAAATACAGTCTTCCTTCCTACCTCCCTCCCTCCCTCCCTCCCTCCCTGAATTTATCTATGTGCATCTTACTATTCATGGTAGTGACTTTTCATTTTATATCAATCATGTTTTTTATCACAAAGAATATTTGAAAGTTAAAGCAACTGCTTTATTTAATTCATAAACTTAAAAACTGTAGATCAAAATAGTGTAGTGATTAAAATGTGGATTATAGAGGGGAGACACTGGTTCAAGCTCATGAAAGCTCTTATCATTATTTTTCAAATCAATCCAACTCTCAGCCCAACATAATATTTTGTGAGGAAATAAAGAAGGTAGTGGTACATATGCCTTCCTGAGGTCCTAGAGCAGGGGTGTCAAACTCGCAATGTCACGTGACATGTCGTGACTTTTTTTCCATTGCCGGCAATGGGGTAGGCACGGTTTCGCCATGACACATTTGGTCCACAGGCCGGCAGTTTGATACCCCTGTCCTAGAGGAAAGGTGAGATATTAATCAAATGAATCAGTAGTAATTGTTCCTACTTTATAGCACTTTTTATTTTTTTAAACAAACCCATCCTAATTTTGATCCAGCAATTATTATACTGATGATTTATTGTTATAATACAAGAAAATATTCATGTTTTATAAGTTGGCCAGAAACAAATATAATATTGTTGTTAAAATTCCTGATTTTCCAGCTAAATGAGAATTATGGTACAATTTTATGCATCTATTCCAAAACACATCCTATTGTGATCAAAGGTATTATTCCAGGAAGAGTGATACAAGAATGTAATCCCACAATATATGAAATGCTTACTGTTCTATAAAAGGTTATGTATTTATAGACAATTTACAAATCCAGGATGCAAGCATACATTAGGGACAAACATGTTGAAAAGTCTTCAACGTTCATGTGAGCTAATAGTTTAAACCAGGGGTCTTCAAACTCAGCCCTTTTATGACTCATAGACTTCAATTCCCAAAATTCCTCAGCCAGGAGTTTGAAGACCCCTGGTTTAAACAATTACCATAATGTTTTGTTGGACACCATAAACACTGATCTAGGAATAAAGGTCATTGATACTTTGATAAGGATATATAAGATTAGAAATAAATGACAATGTAATAATAAGCAGTAGAAGAATACTTACATCCAATAAGGTATGGGCGCTATCACTACTCTCTTTGGTTGTTCTACACATGGCTTGGTAGTCATACAGAGTAATTCTATAGAGAAGAATAGAAAACTGCTTGACTAGAAGGGAAAAAATAAATTGAAAAATAATGTGAAACGCAACAAGATTTGCCCACAAGGCAAAAATAGCAATAGCATTTTTAAAGGGAATGGTTGGATTATAGAGGTAATACAAACTCAGATTAAAAAAAATAAAATGTAAAGAAAAAATGTGTAAGTCTAAGGACTGAATAAAACTGTCAGGAAAATAAAACTGTCAGACTGAATATTAAACTGATTCACAAAACAGAAATATGCATTTAAAAATGAAAATATTGGTTTCTGCTCCTTTAGCAACTCTAAAAACAGTAACACTGAAGTACTAAAATAATTTATAAATAATTTAAATAACACATATTAGAATGTCTAATGGTGTTATTTGACTTTTTCTAGAATTAAAAAAATGTATTTTGTGCTATCTGATGCTTCAAAATAGTCTGTCACATTCCATATGCATTCTCTCTAGATATATTTGTGTAAAAGTGAAGAAAAAATGAGATGCATAGTTGTAAAAGAAAATCATGTAATTTTCAGTGAATTGAATGATTATATTTAGCAAGTTGCTTGTTGTCAACTATATATATATATATATTTATTAAGGTATTTATAGAATCAAAGACCTATTTGATATCCAAAATCTGACAAAGCTGGTGAAAAGATTACTTAGATCAGTGGCCCCCAACCTTTTGGGTGCCAGAGATCAATTCCATGGAAAGCATTTTTTCCACAGACTGAGGTGTGTGGCTTCATGTGCTACTTGGATCTCGTGTGTGTGTGTATGTGTGTGTGTGTGTGTGGATAGGGACACTTGACTTAGGATAGATCTTCCCCAATTTTGACAAGCCCTCTTCCACTGTGATAGGATGATTTTAATCTATTCTCAGATATTTTGAAATCTCATAGTTGCTCTTTGCCAAAAACAGTTCAGTCAGGACATTATATTTATTCTATGCAAATTAGCTATAACGTTTTAGCCAAAGAATCTGAACATTAACAACCTGAATGTGTAATTTAAATGCATTGAGTTGCATTGGGTTTTGTTTGCCTACATCAAATGAAGTGAAGTTAATGCAGAAATAAATTGGCTTGGCGCATGTTAACAAAAATGACAGAATCATATTGCTGTAAGCCATAATCTTTTAAATAGAACTACATATTTAGTTCAATTACCCTGAATAAGCCAAATTGTTCACATTATTTTCTAAAACAGCTTACTATTTCATTGGCTCACATGCTTTCATGAGAATTAAAACACAGAAGGATTAAATTTGATGCACCTTATGTACAGGTATGCATTATACAGGTTTGATTTTACCCACCTTGAGATTGTCCTTCAACAGAGTTGACTTAAGGAGCAAGATTCTGTTTTAACATTAGAAGACCTAAGAATTGTCTCACACATGGGCTGGGGAGAAGATGAAGGCAATGTCGTATAATTATGGCAGAAAAAAAGATGTTGCCATTCATGTTTGTGCCATGATTAGGTACCCAACTTTTACAGCTATAACATACAAACTGAATAGCTTAGATGGTAGTTTATAAAATGCACTTTTTATATTCCAGTTTCCTGGATAACTGAAAAATTAGTTAAAATGAGAAACATTTTTTTTATTTTATTTACAAGACTTATATGGCCACAGATAATTACTCCAGGCAGCTCACAACAATCAATAGAAAGAGAAATAAAGCCAGCTTGGTGACTTTGGGCCAATAGCTCTTTCTCAGCCCATCCCACCTCACAAGGTGATGGTGCAGAAAATAGGAGGAGAAAGTATTATGTACAGCAAGCTTGTCAAACTCACGATGTCACATGACGTCGCTCAATGTATCACAACTTTTTCCTCATTGCCGGCAATGGGGTGGGCGCGGTTTCGGCATGACACATCCGGCCCGCAGGCCGGCAGTTTGACATGCCTGATGTACAGTATGTTCATTATTTTGAATTACTGATACCCACAACTTCTGGGTACAAGTCGTTCCGCTGATTAATTGTTCTTACTGTCAGGAAATTTTTCCTTAGTTCTAGGTTGCTTCTCTCTTGGGTAATTTCCAAACATTGTCTTGCTTCTGGTGCTTTGGAAAATAGTGACTCCCCTTCTTTGGGGCAACCACTCAAATATTGGAACACTGCTATAATATCCACACACGCCCCGGGTCCTTCTTTTCACTAGACTAGACATACCCAATTCCTGCAACTGTTCCTCACATATTTTAGCTTCCAGTGCCCTAATCATCTTTGTTGCTCTTTTCTGCACTTCTAGAGTCTCAACATCTTTTTTATGTTGTGGCGACCAAACTACATGCAATATTCCAAGTGTGGTCTTACTGAGGCTTCATAAAATGGTACTAATACTTCACGTGATCTTGATTCTATCTCTCTGTTAATGCAGCCTAGCACTGCATTGGATGTTTTGGAAACTGCAATAGCAATAGCACTTAGACTTATATACCACTTATATATCTGCATCCGGAGGCTGTGAATGCTCCAGCACTGGAAGTCTCTAAGAAGAAACTGGACAGCCATTTGTCTGAAATGGTATAGGGTTTCCTGCCTGAGCAGGGGGTTGGACAAGATAACCTCCAGGGTACCTTCCAACTTTTATTATTATTATTATTATTATGGATCATCGCACAGTCAGCCAGATGTTCAGACTGGATTTGGCATTTTGTCTACCTATCGAGTCCTTACCCAGGACCTGGGATAGGCAGATTTGGATGTTTGATGGTATTACAGATATCGTCGCAGGATGGAAGCAGTTCCTAGTAAGGCCGCCTTTTGCAATTGACTAATAGCGAATTTTTCAATGCCAATTGTGTTCAAGTGGTGCTCCAGTTGTTTTGGGATTGCACCCAAGGAGCCTATGACTATTGGTACTACCCTTGCTTGCTTTTGCCACAGTCTTTCTATTTCTATTTGTAGGTCTTTGTATTTTGTTATCTTCTCCAGTTCTTTCTCGTCTATTCTGCTGTCTCCAGGCACTGTCACGTCCACTATCCAGACTTTTTGTCTTTCTTATCGACAATTGTTAAGTCTGGGGTGTTATGTTGCAGGTGCTTGTCTGTTTGAATTCTGAAGTCCCAGAGCAGTTTAATTTTATCATTTTCTATGACTTTCTCTATTTTATGATCCCACCAGTTTTTGCTTACAGGCAAATGATATTTTTTGCAGATCTTCCAATGCACCATTGTTGCTACTTTGTCATGCCACTGCTTGTAATCAGTATTATTATTATTATTATTATTATTATTTGAAGCCCTCTTTAAGTGGTTTACAGAGTCAGCATATTGCCCCCAACAATCTGGGTTCTCGTTTTACTGACCTAGAAGGATGGAAAGCTGAGTTAACCTTGAGCTGGTGACAATTGAACTGCCGAACTGCTGGCAGCTGGCAGTCAGCAGAAGTAGCGTGCAGTACTGCATTCTATCCACTACACCACATTGCTGGCTCATATTTAAGTGACTGGAGTCCACTAGGACTCCAAGATCCCTCTCACAGTTACTATTGTTGAACCAGGTACCACCTATACGATACCTGTGCTTTTCTCACCATTGAATTTAATTTTGTAAGATAGGGCCCAGTGTTTTAGTCTGTTGAAATCCTTCTGTATCTTGAACCTATCTTCTGGAGTGTTGGCTACTATTACCAGCTTGGTGTCATATGCAAATTTGATAAGTTCCTCTTCTATTAGCAACTCAATAAGTTACAACAATATTTGTAAAGTAATGTTTGTTAGATAGTTAGATAGTTTGTTGGAGCCATGGTGGTGCAGTGGTTTGAATGCAGCATTGCAGGCTAATTCTGCTGATTGCCAATTGCCAGCAGTTTGATTTTCATCAGCTCAAAGTTGACTCAGCCTTCCATCCTTCCGAGGTTGGTAAAATGAGGGCCCAGATTGTTGGGGGCAAATATGCCAAATCTGTAAGCCACTTAGAGAGGGCTGTAAAACACTGTGAAGCAGTATATAAGTCTATACTAAATATAAGTCTATATTATACTAAAATAGCTACTGCTATTTTATATCCTGTTAAATGCCCAGTAAGATAGCTAAAGTCTTTAAATTCACAAGAATTGTGAATTTGAATGGAAGACATTCAGTAAAGCATCAACTTTATTGTTGGATAGTATATGTTTAGTATTTTTCATAATCCAATCTGGCAGTGCTAACACGGAGTTTATAAACATAAACTCTGTCCAATATTGGACACCTTCATGTGTAGATATTCTCTTGGTTTTGCTCACCAGCTTCCTAACTTTCCAAAAAGGGGGTCAATTCCCCCCCCCACCAAGAGTTTATATGTTTTATAGGGTTGAACTTGAAAGGTAGAATGGAAATAGGAGTTCTCTGTGATACAAATTGTTCCAATCTCTACCCTTAACCCTCCATTTTCTGGGCTGGTTTCAGAAAGCTTTTTGTGATTTTGGATAGATAAAGGGTTAAAGACAGAAAAGGGATCTGCTTGCCTCCCAGAGGTTTTCTGCTGCCATCCTGACCCTTAAACCTTTCCAAACCACTGAAAATGATCTGAAATTGGCTCAAAAAACCCCTTCTTTTGAGGATTTGGGATATGGATTTAAGAGTAAGAATGAGAGCTATTTGTCTCCATTTTCAGCCTTAATTTTGAATACGTATTTGAATACAGTTAAAATATGTCACTGAAATGCTATCATTTTGCTTCCAGATTTTACTGGCACAATCTGGGGGGAAGGTGAGACTGGTAGAACATATGCAATGCAGGAGAATGCAATCTGATTGTTATCCACTCTTAGTTTATGATTTCTGGAAGCACACAATGGTACTTCCTTCATTCAAGTTTCTAAAAATGTTCTTCTCCTGGAAAATTACTACATGAAAGTGACTACATAGAAAGAGAATTTTGTTTAAATAAATAGGCAGACATTTGGCCTCCACCGACTACCTCAAATACACTTTTAAGAAATGATTCAATGACACA